ACTTAGCACAGTGCCTGGAAGTCACTTAGCCCTTATAAACTTTAGTTTCTTCGTCTGTAGTGGGGCAGGGAGGAGTTTGTCTCTCCTTTGAAGTCCCTTCTAACTCCAAATCTATGATCCTATATAAATAATTTCAAATTCATATCCTGGATACAATGACATAGATTAATCAAAATCTACAACTCTGGAATGGACTGGGTTTCAATTGGAAACAGAATCTCATAATTTTGCTTTAACATTCAAAAAGAAGATAGTTAAAGGGGGCAGGATATGAAGAAAAGAGTAGGCTACCCGCAAACATAGCTTAGGAATGCTCAACTGGGGAGAAAGCCAAATGATTTCCCAGAAATAAGACTCCAAAGGCATCTAAATTTGATTTGTACTACGGCTATATAATGGTATTGGAACAAATTTTGTGTTAAAACAATGAACTAAATCCATTTTCAAGGCCTAGGCTTTATTTGTCAAATTATGCCATGGAGTAAAAGTTTAGTGCCAGTGACAACAGAAGCATAGAGTGCATATGAGAAACATGGTTAGAAAATCCTAGGTGGCTCCACTGCAGGGTCATAATTAAATTTCATAAATTAGCAATAAGAAAGAAAAAGCATTATGTTCAGAAAAGATGCCCAATAACTGTTCAGGTCGGGCTCAGTCCTTGAAATTTCTCATGGTGGTCTAAACAATGTACTGTTGTAATACCTTAATTAACCAAGCCTTGGGGAACAAGGCTTCTTTATAATGAAGTCTGCCATGTTAAAAAGACAAACCAAGGAAACTTCATAAATCATAGGAAGCAGAGCTCCCTACGATTGTAGCTACATGTGACAAAAATACTTGCGCGTGATTTCCATGTACTTTGGCCTCTTCAGAGCTCTAAGTAGACAGGGTAACCGGGGCTTTGTCTCAGGGTGTTAACATTCAAGGGGGTATTTCCTTGTGTCCATATTTTGGCTTATGATCTTGCTCCCTTGCCTGGCCCTGGAATACCTACTCCCCCAAGGACCCCATGGAGGTGGTGTCTCTCTCCTAGAACCTGCCTTCCCCCATTATTCTTTCCTCTCCATCCTACACACGCTCACACGCATAACTACACATAGAACTGTGCACCCATACATCTACACAACATACATATTCACTCTCCAGTAAACTCCTCTCTCTCATGCTTTTCTTCCAGGGCTTGGATGATCACTGACCAGCAGCCATGACAGGGGGATAGGTGACCCCCTTTTCCAGGGCAACTTTAGCTAGGATGGACTCTGTTCCCCACCTCCCCAAATGAATTTTTACCAGGCACCTATATTCCTATTACAACTCTGCACCCTTACAAAAATTTGCAGAATGTACCTTGGGCAAAAATTAGGGTTCCTGGGAAATTTGTCTTCTTTGTTCCCTCATTGAAGAATTCTACTTTCAGTATCTAGTACCCTCCTACTTCTTTTACTCCTTCCCCCTTTCAAAATAGAAAGACAGATGTGGGACCCTTCCACCCCAGTCAACTTATCTATATCTATACCATTTCTTTAGTAAATCCTTAATCATTGGTGAAGTATTAATTACCTCTTCAAAGTACAAGGCAAACACTCTAAAGCAGCTGGATGTATAATCAATAGATCATTGTGCTTGGAGCCAGAAAGACCCGAATTTGAATCTAGGCTCAGGCACTTATTAGCTATGTGACCCTGGGCAAGTCATAACCTCTTTCAGTCTGTTTCTTTAGCTGTAAAATGCTTCACAGAGTTGTTGGAAGGATCAAATGAGAAAACATACATAAAGCTCTTTGCAAATCTCAAAGTACTATTAAATGCTAGTGATTATTATTATGCAAAATATTACAGTCCATATGATCAGTGCATAAGTAAAGCATCTACAAGTGACAGTACCCTATCTCATTCTCAACTCATTAATAATTCTACTTGAAATTATTGCATCTTTAGACTAAAGGAGACTGGAGAGTTCATCTAGTCAACTTTCCCAATTGTAGGACTTGAAGCAATCTGAAGCCAGCTTTTATTGTGGGCAAAACTTTTACCTCCTCACACCCATAAACTTAAACAAAATATGAGTGCTCTTCTTCTCTTTGCCCTACTCCCCCTTCTGTCTGTGTCTGACCCCAAACCCAACAACTTTACCGCCTGAAGTGGCACCTGAGCTGAGCCCTGAAGGAAGATAAGGATTTAGGGAGGCAAAGATAAGGAAGAAGTATACTCCAAGCATGGAGGACAGTTTAGGCAAATACTTCAAAGAGATCAAAGAAAGCAGAAAAGGTCTTATATGTCTAAAAATGTTTATAGTAGATCTTTTTGTAGTGGCAAAGCACTGATAATTAAGGGGATGTCCATCAGTTAGGGAATGGCTGAACAAAATACGGCATGTGAAAGTAATGGAATACTATTGGGTTGTGAGACACAACAGGACATGGCTTCAGAGAAACCTGGGAAGACTTTTATGAATTGATGAAGAATGAAGGAAGCAGCAGTGGGAAAATGATTTATGATATAACATCAACATTGTAAAAACAATTTTTGAGGGGACAAACATCTTTGAAAGACTTAAGATATCTGATCAACTCAACAATCAACCACGATTCTGGAAGACTGATGATGAAGCCCACTACTATCCATGCCTTCATAGTGGACTAAATATGCAGAATGAAACGCACATTTCTTTTAACATGGTCACTACGTGAATTTGTTTTGCTTGAGTAGACACATTTTTACAAGGATTTTGATTTTTTTTCTTCTTTTTTTTTTCCAAATTGGGGGAAAGGAGAGCAGGAAGAAGAGGGAAAAAAATGCTTATTAAACAGGAAAAAAAATTCAAAGTTTAAAAAATCAGAAGCAGAACCAATATTTCAGGAGATAGAAGATAAAAGGGAGTAACAATCTACTTTTGTTTTCATTCTACTCTCAGTTCACATAAGAAAAGATTGTTAGAGAATGAGTAGGAAAAAAGATTTGAGTCAATAAGAAAGTGAAGGAAATCATCTAGTTCGCTTGGAGGAGTTTGGATTAGCGAAATAGGCCAGAGATTAAATTTAAGGAGGAGAAATTTGGCCAAAGTTAGAAGAAATTGAAGAGTATTTGAGAAAAAATAATCTCTAGGCCCAGAAAATTGTCTCTATTTTACTTGCAGGTTGTACAAGAAGATCAAGAAGAATATTAAAAGATTAAGAAGGATTAGGGAGTAGAACCTGATGAGAAAGGCTCAAGAAGGATAAAGAGAAGTTAGTTGAGAAGAGGAGGCAAGATAAGTAGGAAAAGGTAAGTGGAACAAAAGGGTGGTTAACTAAATTGATAGAGTGGGTTGATCAGGGTGGGGTGGGGGGCAAATTGGTTGTAAAAAGTTTTAACTCTAAAATAAACGATTGGATGTAAAAAGTTTTAATCAGATTAACAGGGTTAAGTGTAAACACCAACAAGTAGTTTCAAGGCAAATCAAACCAACAATTATTTATTAAGTGCTTACTATGTGCAAGGCATAGTGCCGAGCTCTAGAGACACAAGAAAGGCAAAAATAGTCCCTATCTTCAAGGAGCTTACAGTCTAATGCAAGAAACTAATGTTCAAGAAACAAGGCTAAAGATTTCAACTACTTAGTAAGGGAAGTTATGAAGTGACTTACATCAAGTGCTCTGTGTTTGTGTTTCTGCCACAATTAAGTGACTATTATCTGTGTTAGAAGTTTAGGCTAATATTCCTCCTGGAGGAAAAGGTAAAGGATCTAGAAGAATGCTTCTCTACACTCCAGATATTATGCAGTATGAAGGGTTCCAAAAGAAGAGAGGAGTACAGCTTCAATAGAAGGGGAAAAGGCATTGAGAGAGTAAAGGAGAAACATGGCCCTTGTTAGAGTGAGAGAGGAAGGAAGAGTGTTACATGGAGAAGGAAGGGAAGCAAAGGGGGCACCTATACAATTAGAGCTTAAAAACTAGTCTGAGGCTCTTCCTAAAGAGCAGACAACTAGAGGCTCTGAAGAAGATGAAGCTTCAAGAATGATATGGTAAAACTAAGGGAACTATTAGGTGAAAGGTCATCCAGTAAGGGTCAGAGGAAGAAGAGAAGAGTAGTAGTAGCTGGTGGTTTCCTGCTCAAGGGGACTGAGGCAACTATTTGTCAACCCAGTAACAATAATCTGTTGTCTTCCTGAGACATCTAAGACTTAATAGAACCTTTCATGACTTATTAAAATGAATGAGAACTACCCTCTTCTAGTGATTTACATGGGCACAAATGACACTTCCAAAAAGAACTTTAAAACTACTGTTAATGATTACAAAGTCTTAGGAAATAAAACTGAATTCTGTTTCTGTTTGCAAAGGAGAATGCCCTTTATGCTGCAAATGATAGAATACAAATGACTAACAAGGAGTTAACAGCCAAGATATGTAAGGAGATTACAAAGGAGTCCCTAGCTACCCAGGAATTAAGGTCACCTGATCAGTTCGACTATCAGTGATATTTGAATGATCATGGAAAATGGGAGAGGCATAAAAAACTTGAGAAGGGCAAATATTGTCCCAATTTTTAAAAAAAGAGAAAGAGAGTAGAGCCTTCAATGGGAAAATTCTACAGTGGATCATTGCAGAGATAATTGGGGAAAAATCTAGAAAGGGAGGTAGAGATTTCAAAGAGCCAGTTTGCTCTTCAGTGAGAAGAGGTCATGCCAGATTTACTTCATTTTCTTTCTTGACAGGATTACCAAATTAGTAGATGAGAGGTATACTATAGTTTATTCCAAATTTTGCAAAGCTTTTCTCATCTTATTTTTGTGGTGAAGATGGAAAGGTATGGATTAGATCACTATAGACTGGATTCAGAACTAGATGGATGGCTAAGCTACGAGGTAGAAGGTCTCCAGTAGAACATACCAAGGCCGTGTATTTGGCCCTTTTTAGCATTTTTTATTGCTGCTTTCATTAAAGGAATACATATTATGCTTCTCAGATTTACAGATGACATAAGCTGAGAGGGATAGCTAACACAATGGATGATAATGTCACAATTCAAACGTCTTCTTGGCAGGCTGGAATGTTGAGTTGAATCTAACGAGATGAAACTTCATTGGGATAAATGTAAAGTCCACAGCTGGGTCCAAAAATTCAACTTGGAAAGTCTAAGATAGGTGACAGAATGAGGGCATGATATCTGCCTTCAAATATTTGTGGAGGGGAAACTCCATTTGGTCTGTTAGGATGCAAAGGGCTGAACTATGAGCAATTGGTAGAAGTTGCAAGGAGGTGAATTTAGGTGGATATGAGGAAAAACTTTTTACCAATTAGAGCTGCCCAAAAGTGGAGTGTTGGGAGGTGTTGCCTGTAGAGATTGTGGCTTCTTTCTCCTTGGAGGTCTTCAAGCAAAGGCTCAAGAACCACTTATTAGGTATGGTATGATGGGAAATCTTTTTGCATATATGTTGGACTGAATGGCTGCTGAAGTAGCTTTCAGGTCTTAAAATTTCTGATCCTATGAGCGCTGACACTGATAGAAAGAAAATAGGGAAGAGACAATAAATAAGACAAAGGGATAGCCAAAGTAATAATAATAATAATAATAATAATAATAATTTTCCTATATAATAAATAACAATAATATCTTTTATAGAGTACTTTAAGGTTTGCAAAGAGCTTTACAAATATTATTTCATTTTATCTTCATGACAACTCTGAAAGGTATTATTTTCTTCATTTTACAATTAAAGAAACTGAGGCAGAGAAAGGGGAAGTGACCTGCCCAGAGTCACAGAACTAGGAAGTGTTTGAGGCAAAAGAGATCAATGTAGATGAGAACTGAATAAAGGTCATTGGATTTAGCAATTAAGAAAGTGTTTGACTTTGAAGAAAGAAATTTCAGTAGAGAAATAGGGTGGGAAGCCAGATTGTAAGGGTTTGAGAAGTGCCTTGGTGGTTAAGAAGCCAAGGAAGCTAGAGTAGACAACTCTTTCTGGAAGCCTGGCAATAAAATGGGGGAATGTTATCAAATAAATGCTTGAAGAATAGTAAGGCCAAATAAAGTGACTTTTTTAAAATTTAATTTGTTTTGTTTTAAGATTGAGGAAAACTAGATACTGTTTGTAAGTAATCACAGATTTTAGGACTGGAAGGGACCTTGGTGGGTATCTAGACCAATCCCCTCATTTTACAGATACAAAAACTGAGGCTTAGAAAAGTAAAGCGATTTGCCCAAGGACACACAACTAGTAAGTGACAACTGAGATTTGAACCCAAATCTTCTGAGTCCAAATCCAGTGTTCTTTCTACCAGACCAGTGGTCTCTAAAGGTGAGGATACATATCCCAGCCACTGTCAAATCTTGGTGATTCTACCTCCACCACTTCTCTTTCCCTTCTATAAGTTTACTGTACATGGCCACTGCTGATTTTATGCCCTTATCACCAATCATCTGGATCATTAAAATGGCCCCCTAATTGGTCTCCATGACTCAAGTCTTTCCTGGCTCCAATCCATTCTCCATTCAATCATTAAAGTCAAAAATGATTTTCCTAAAGCACAGGTGTGACCATGTCACCTTCCTACTCTCACTAAGTTCCTGTGGCTTTCTGATGACTATAGGATCAGATATGAATTCCTTTGTCATGTAAAGCCCTTCTTGCATTCTACAGTCCAGCCAAATTGACTGCCTTGTTGTTTCTCACATTCACCCCAAAACATAATAAATATATCCAAACCTGAATAGGAAATCAAGGTAGGAGACCAGACATTAAGCAGAGCCACAAAGAGAAAGAGGAATGGATTTAGACCAAAAACTTTCTGCCAAGTTGAAATCAGAGACAATTCACTTCTACTTGTTCTTTTTTCATTGTGTATGATGAATATCTACACACAGAGAACCATGATTCCTGCTGCTTTGTTCAATGACTGGTACAATCCATTATTTGATTGTTGTATTGTGTAGCTTTCAATAAAAAAGTATACAAAAAGAAAGAGAGAGAGAAAGAGGGAGGGAGGGAGGAAGAGAGAGAAATCTACGTGGTTGGCTAGCTCCATTGATCAAATTAATTGAATAATTAATACTAATAGTTATTATTTATAAGTCTGTTCCACCTCCTGATTATACATAGATATTTTGGGAAAAATAATGACACATAGTCATGTTGTCCTCACTCATTATTATTATTGTAATCAATAATAATAATGCAGTTAATATTTCAATAGCCCTTTAAGGTTTGCAAAGTGCCTTGAAAATATTGTCACATTTTGTCCTCACAGAAACCTGGGAGATAGGTGATATTAATCAATCAATAAACATGTATTAATCATCTACTATGCACCAGGCACTGTGCTGAACACTGGAATTACAATCTATTATTATATTCATTTCATAGATAAGAAAACTGAGGTATGAGAAATAAAGTGACTTGTCCAGGGTCATACAATTAGTAGGCATCAGGTGAAATTAAAACTTGGGTCTTGCAGATGCCAGGTCTAGTACTCTCTCTACTGATCTACCTAGCTATTCTAAAATAATTTTTAAAATTAATAATAAAATTTCAGTGAAAGCAAAAAAAAAGGCTTTGACTCAGTTAATAGAATTTTTAAATGTAAAATTCTTCACGCATCTGTGTCATCAGTTTAAATTTCTACTTTATAATGGAAATACTTTATTAGAACAGTAGTACATGTATATGACAAAATAAATAAATAAATATAATATATGTATATATATATATATATATATATGAGAGGGGTATACTCAATTTTTTTTCTGATAGAAGGGCACAACCACGTTCACTTCCCTAGATCACGCTGCCTTCACAATTTAGACTGAGAAACACCAATCTAGATTCTCATATTCACACAGGGCTAGCCATTCCTAAGCTATTCAAGTCATGGAAAACTATCATCTGTTTCAAGTTCTCTAGAAAAAGAGAACTTCACATAATTTTTCTCAGAATTCCATTACAATATTTTAAATCTATGAAGAAATTGTTTCTTTATCTAATTTAATTTTTCACACTGTGCCTTGAGTTCAGTTCTTCTTACCACCTTTCTCTTTAGAAATAGAGTAGTTGGCTTGAAGGGAGGGGGAAAGCAATCTCTATCTTTCAGGGAGGTGGCTTGAGTTCTTGCTCAAACTTTGTTAGCTTAATAGTTAAATGAATTTTTAAAATTTTGGACACAAACAAGTCTTGCATGCCACTAGCATTTGGGCTAACAAAATCTAATGCAAAAATTCTTTGCTTTTGCTCACCCTAATCCACATACAAGCCACCCTTGAAAATAAGAAAGCTTCCAACACATTGTGACCCAGACCTTATTGGAAGTGGGCTCAATGAAGCAGGCTCTGCTCAGTCATATTTTAAAGTCTTTGAAGACCCTGTGGCAAGAGACAAGAACATAAGGACATCAGCCTAATATTGTTCAAACCAAGAAAGCTTGTGTAGATTACTCACCTGAATGAACCCATGAAGCCCCAGGTCTGCCATGGAAATGCACTGATAATGGAGAGAAAATTTAATTCACTACTTCACTGCTCACCTGACACCTGGCTTGCTTGGCCATCCTAAAAGTCTATCGATTGCCATTGACTTAACTTGCTTAATTCTAAGGCATATCTTCAAACAGACACTTCTTTGGTTTTCATTTTTGTTGACTTCAACAGAAAAGTCTACTTTGAAATGTGGCATGGAATTGAACAACTTAGAAAAAGATTAGTGGGGTGCTGGGAATCAAGCCTCCCTCCTCCTTTCAACCTGGAACCTGTTGGTAAACACCTTCAAAATAACAAAGCCATTGCCTCCCTTTCCTGCCTATTACAAGCAATGCAGTTCAGTGACTTCTAATATGTTTTTGATAAAACATCAATACTCTTTGCTTCATGTTGAGATGTACATGATTGCAAAGTATCTCACCAACCATGTCCTCTCCTCATGTTGTCTTGAGCTGCATTTAGACCCTGACCAAATGAAACTGTGATCTGCATTACTTACCACTCTGCATTCCAGCGAAATTGAACTATACCAAAGTTGGTATGCTTCTTTTAAGCAGCTAGATGTAGGGTATGGAGTACTAGACTTAGGAAGACCTGAATTCAAATCCTGCCTCAGATATTGACTAGCTGTGTATGACCCTGGGCAAGTCACATGGGTTCTTTAAGCCTCAATTTCCTCATTTGTAAAATCATTATCATAATAGCACTTACAGAATAGTGGCAAGTATCAAATTAAATAATATATAGAACTCTAATGCTGAAGTGCCATTTCTTATGAGAAGCTTTCCTTGATCTTTTAAGTGACCAAGATAATCAAAGCAGGGAAGAAAATGTGATTATACCCAAGAGAGGAGAGAGAGAGAACAAAGGGAGTTGGAATTAGATTGAGTGCAACAAAAGAACAATGATCTAAATCAGAACCTAGGATTTAAGAAGAGTACAATCTGGAATGAAGCCAAGAGTACAAGGAGGAAGAAGGTCACAATCTGAATAGAGTTAAGGTTCCATGATTTCCCACAGTCAGTCAATCAACAATCATTTATTAAGTGTCTACAAGTGCCAAGCACTGTGCTAAGTGCTAGAGATACAAAGAACGGCAAAAAAAATTCCCTGATCTCAAGGAGCTTAGGGTCTAATGTGATAAACAGTGCAGCATAGAGCAAAGGATAAATGAGCATCAGAGAGGAAAACCATCCCAGCCACCAAGAGATGCAAAATGGAATGTTTGGGGAGGAAAATAAAAATGACCAGAAGAATTAATACCTCAGCACCATCTGTTGATGGTGAACCTTAACCAAGAATCAAACTCTCTAAAATTTAGAATGGGCCAAACAGCAAACAATAATTTCATAAGAGCAACAAGAAATATTAAAAAGAAAATAAGAAAAATACAGCAAGCAGTCAGAAAGACACAAATCAGATACCAAAGAACTCCAGTTTAAAAAAAAATAGAAATATGTAGCAAATATGAGAAAAGGAAGTAAAATGTGGAACACAACATGCCAAAAGAAAAATGCCTAGACGAAAGAATAAATTAACTTACAAAAACTGAGCTTAAGCATGAGGGAGTCTGGGGGGAAGAGAAGAATGGAAATTGGATCTTTAATTGAATCAATAATTTCCAACATTCCTGATTATAGAATCAGAGTTGAACAGAATCTCTGAAATGCAAATGGAGGAAACAAGAGAAACCTAGAAAAAGGTGAATGGAGGAGAGAGAGAAGGAGAAGAAAAGGGAGAGAGAAAAAGAGAGAGGGAGAGACAGAGAGAGAGAGAGAGGAAGTGAAGGAGAGAGGGATAGAAAGAGATAGAGACAGACAGAGAAAGAGAGAGAGAGAAACATCATGTTGTGAAGAAGTAAAAAAGATCTATCATGACCATTTATATGAAAAGGTTGAATACCAATTAATTATGTTCTGAATATGTGTTAATACATACTTGTGAATCTTGTGCTTTAAGCATTTCTTTTGTGGTCGAGGAAGATGGTGGCACAATGGATAGAGCACTGTGCCTGAAGTTAGGCAAATTTG